ATTTTGAAAAGATGGGTTTTGTTTAACTATTCTAAGAGTGCTGGATACAAACAGTGCATGTGATATGGTATGGTTAGATTTTCAGAATATTTTTGGTAAAGTTCAATATAAAAGATTCATTCTCAAATTTAGGAATTAAAGGATAGGAAACGGGGGCACAGATAAGAGGTGAATGTTCAGATTGGGGTGATATTATTAAATTAAGCTCAGTAATCTGTATTTGAACAGATTGCTCTGAATTATCTTTATCTTGACGCTAATATTTATTTTACTAGTTATGTTGACAGGTACCCAACTAGGAGGATTAACAAACACTTTCAAAACACCAAATTCTGGATTTGACAACCGCTTGGCAGACGACACTTAATGTAGATCAGAGCAGGGTGTTGCATGCAGGGAGCAAAAAGAAACTGCAAATAAAAAAATAAAAAGGCCAAGTTTCAAGACTCCGAGTATACTCAGAGTATACTTATTCCTTTTGCTGCACAAGGCGTATAGCTAACTTCATTACTGCAATATCGCATTATTGAATAGCGTAGTGAAGCGTTCAATTGTCTAAATGTTCCCATTCTCATCCTGGTTAAATTTTACTTCTCCCCCTTACTGTACTTTTGCTGCAGTATCCTTCTCTGCCTGCACCTGCAGTTCACTGGGTACTGCTGTTCTGTCACCATTTTCTAAAGCAATCTGTTTTTTTTTTCTTTGTCCTAATTTGGGAAACTATTTGGGATTTATTCTTGGGATAAATCAGTTCCATGCTTCAGGCAGAGTCTGTTTAAGTAAAATGTGGCCATTAATTCTCCAGAAATCCCATATCTGTCTTGTGCTCATTTGACTTCTCTTTAGCTTTTATTCCTTTAAACAATTTTCCTGAAACTGTGAACCTCATACTCACAGAATTCACATACAGGCACCTGGTCCTGTCACCCTTTTCCATTTCATTCTCCATTTGACTATTTCTTTGGTAGATTCCTTTTGGATCTCAGTTTCTCCGATCTTTCCATCATATAACTTGTATTATATTACTAATAATGATTGTGCTGAAATCCTCCTTTCATCCCAGTAGATCCCAAAGCGTTTCAGATACAAGAAGGAAGCCAGTTCATCCCCCATTTTAACACAGCCAGCACCTGGGTGACACACAGCAGTCATTCTGCACATGCAGCCCCACTGCACTGCAGGCCAGTTGGATAAATGGGAAATAGCATCGCCAGTTAACGTTGCATACGGGTGCTAGCACCTCTGACTGTACTGCGACCCCGGCCGGGGTTTTGGATTGGAAACGAGACCAGAAGGAAGAGCACCACTACTGGCCCATCACCACTCATTAAAGTAGCAGCCCAGCTATGCCTGAAGGTCACCCATTCCAGTACAGAACTCACCAGGCCCAGCTGCGCTTCGCTTCCGAAGCTTGACGACACCAGGACACGAGGATCTGCAAACCTGTTAACAACTATCATCGCCTTCGGCAATATCTTTTCATCTCTGTTGACAAAGTGTCGATGCATCACTTTGCTCCTGACAGCTGAAGTTTCAAATTAAAAAGGTTCTGCAAGCTTTAAGCACTGCACCCCTGCAGGCAATCAGTGCTTAATTCAGGAGCTGCCATTTCTGATGAACTCCAATGTGTTTTTTTCCCCACACAACTTCTATAATTAAAACGGGAGTAATACATGTTAATCAAATGCACTAAAATTAACACCTGCTCTGCAAGAATGTCACAGTTGCAAGCTCATTACCCAGGAATTGTCATGAAAGAACCCAATCACAATATTGTACAAAAAATTCACCTCAAATGTAATTAAATACTTCACTCTACTAAGATGTGCAGAATGAACTGTCAGGTCCTGTTCCCTACTTGCTACCAAAGACTTTTGAGTTCTTAAAATGTGTGTATTATTGCATTTCTAAGCCCGTTTCTCAAACAGAAAATTTACTAAATTGCCTTTACAAACATTTCATTTGGCTTACTTGCTACTGTTAGAAGACTATTCTCTTCCCTTGCACTTTACAATGAACAATACTTCTTTAAAACCATGAATAACAAGTTGATTTAGCCCACAACCCTCCACAACACTGTTCAAAACATCTTTGCTCTGGGGACCTCCAACACTGCATCTCGAGCAACTGTCACGTAGTCCCTGAGAATGCACGTTATTCCCTGTAAACACACAACATAAGGATGTTTGCATTACCGCTGGATAGCCATGCTGCACATGCTTGATACATTCTGGTCCTTAACGTGGTTTTGCTCAACACTTGCACTGTATTTCAAACTCTGTGCAAGCCTCTGGCACTCCATTTATTCTACTTGCATGAATGTTCTCCTTTGTACTCGTACACTTTATGAATATACTTACACTGTTAGTCGCATCAGCTAAGGGTGCAGGTTTAAGTTAATTATGGTCCTGTTTCACATTTGTAAACAAGTGGCATTCAACACATCTTAACAGAACTTCAAGCACTGGCATCTCCCAGCTGAAGTCTCTGTCTGTCCCTAACCAATGTGGAAATAGAGATGGAACTTTATTCACTGCTCATCCCAAGTCTTCACACACCCCATAGTTTGAAGCAACAAGAGGCGGTTTATCTGTTGCACACAGTTTATTTAACAATATGGTATATAAGTAAGAAATGAGTTATTTTAACCAGTTTATACAGTGATTTGAATTTTCCTTATATTTATAGTAATTTAATAACTTGCATGATTTACATTAGAGAACAGTTCACCCTCAGTTCAAGTTTCATGTAAGAGGAATGAGGATAGACACCACGACTTGCCTTCTCTACTAAAATCAGCAGTCAAACAGTGATCACCTTCACGGTCAGTTTTAGGGACCAATCCTTTCTTTATGACAAATTTCAAAGATTAAAGGAGAAACAAAGCAACAATTTTCTACATCTGCAAGACAGACTTTCTGGTTCCAGGCCAGAAAGTTGTACATGTATTTGTGTATGTATATGTGTGTGTGTGTGCGCGCAATATTCTAGTTCCTATCTATACAAATTAATACTTAAATCTCCCGCACAGACTTCACAATTGGAAAAGAAAAAAAAATGAAAAGTTCCTCCCAAAAGCATGTCCTTTTGAAAATTGGTACAACTTTAGAATGCATTAGCCAGGAATGAGAAAACAAAAAAAAAAAACTGGCTAAATTCCCAGACAAATTATTTTACAGTCTCTCTCAACACAAAATGTTTTAAAGTTTGCAAGGTAGAAAATAAAAAATATGAATAATAATGAAATAGTTTTTGTTTTGTAAATTTCATTAAAAAAAAGGCATGAGTCCATACCAAAACAAAAGCAAAAATCAGAACAAAAAACAGAATTAAAAACAAGAAAACACAAAGACCAGAACCATTTCATTCTTATCCGGTCTGAACCAAAAAATATATTCTTTGAATTATTTTTTCTTTAAACAGCAATTTTTTTTTTAAATCCCTCGACTTGTAGGAAGAAATAGCAGTCCCTTGGTTTAGGAAACATTTAAAATTCCCTAGAATTCTGTCTTTTGATTTTTCATCTTTTTACATGTCAGTACAAAAAGTTCTTCGAGATTAACAAAACCAGAGCCCAAAGAGACCATGCCGCGTCTCAAAATGCTACAATCCCTCCACAAACTTTTCTAGCGTGTCTCCTGTGGCGTCGCCCACCATGTTCAAGTCACTGGCCAGAGCGCCACGGTTGGGGGTGTTTAGCTGTGGCAGCATGGCGCTCTGCTCCGGCGTGCCCAAGTGTCCTTGCTCCATGGAGTTTGGCATGGGAGCTGCGAGGCCGGGGTGGGGCGAGCCCGTCTGCGGGGAGACGTGGTGGGGCGACGGCTGGGGCTGTACCCGCGGCGAGGGGCTGGAATGTGGCGGCTGCGACTGCGGGCAGGGCGACTGCACGGGCGCCGGGGAGCGCACCTGGTTGCTGAGGGAGGTGGCCATCTGCTGGCCGGGGAGCATGTGCGGCTGGGGGCTCATGGGGCTGGGCTGCGCGGGCGAGCTCATCTGCTGCTTCAGCACCGCCTGCTGCTGCTGCTGCGGAGGATGCTGCTGCTGCTGCTGCTGCTGCTGTTGTTGCTGCTGCTGCTGCTGGAGCATCCGCTGGTGCAGGAGGTTCTGAGCGCTGTCCAGCCCCAGTCCAGGCTGGCCCATCTGTGCCACGGACGGCAGCTGGCCCATGGGCCCGCTGCCACCTTGCATCGCCAGGTGCTGCATGCGCTGCTGGATGGTTTGGGAATAGCTGGCGGCGGACCCCTGGGACTGCGGAAACTGGCCGTGAGCTTGGGGCATGGCCCCCTGCTGCTGCTGCTGCTGCTGCTGCTGCTGTTGCTGCTGCTGATGGTGCATGATTTGCCGGCGAAACATCTGATACTGGGGGTTGGCGTTGTGGGCAGGATTCATCAGCTGGCCCTGCGCCCCCAGCGCGCCCATCCCCTGCTGGGCGGACTGCTGGGGCTGCTGAGGCGCCATTCCTGGCCTCTGCACAGCTCCGGCCTGCATGGAAGCCAGGCTCTGCATGCCGGGCTGCCCCGCGTGCATACCCGGTGGGGTCTGCTGCTGGGGCTGGCTGGTTTGGTACTTGAGTGTCCTCTGCTTGATGAAGGCCGCCATGAGCTGGGGGTTGGATTTGAGAATGTTGAGGACCTGCTGCTGCTGCTGGGGCGAGCTCGGAGACTTGAGGGTGCGTAACAAGTCCTGCAGGGCGGTCGGGTGGATGCTGCCCCTCTGGGGCGTCTGCTGAGGCGGGGGCTGCTGGGAGGGGCCCTGGGGCGGGACGACGCCGGGCATCCTGGGCCCCTGCGGCTGATTCATCATGGGCCTCTGCATGGGAGGAGGCTGCTGGGGAGGCTGAGGTCCCTGGGGCTGCTGAGGAGGAACCGGCGGCTGGGGCGGGGGGACCTGCTGCGGCTGCTGCGGAGGGGCCTGCATGGGCCCCTGCGGTCCCGGGGGCCACTGTCCCGGTTGCATGGCAGTCATGACGGGGGCGCCGCGAGGCACCCCCATCTGCATGGCTGCGGTCATCTGCCCCACCATCCTCGGGTGGTTGATGGGGATGCCGTTCAGATTGTTGCCGCGGAAAACCTGCTGCTGGGCCACGCGCTCGATGTGCCGAGCTATTTCCACAGCGGCCTGCGGGGGTGCCGGCTGCTGCTGGGGCTGCTGCTGCTGCGGCTGCTGCTGCTGCGGGGCCGGGGGCAGGGGAGGCTGGGGCTGCTGCAGGGGCGAGGCCTGGTTCCCCTGCTTACCCTGGGAGGCGGGGGCTGGGGGCTGGTTGCCTCGCGGCGTGGTGGGGAAGGCCGGAGGCATGACCCCCGCCGTGGGCGTCTGGGGCTGGGACTGTGCCGCCGCGGGCTGTGGCGTCTGGGGGGTACCGGGTTGTTGATGGCCAGTCGGGGTGCCCGGCGCAGCTGAGGTAGGTGGCGAAGGCAGACTTTGGGGCATCCCCCGGCCCTGCATGGTGGCCATCCGGCGCCGCATCATCTGGGCCTGCTGCAGCCGGTGCTGGAGCTGCTGCTGCCGGAGCTTGTGTTTGATGTTGAGACAGAAGGGCACGGGGCACTTGTTCTCCTGGCAGTGCTTGGCGTGGTAGCAGCACAGGGCAATGAGCTGCTTGCACACGGGGCAGCCGCCGTTGGTCTTGCGCTTGCAGCCCTTGGTGTGCTGCACCACCCGCTTCATCTTCTGGCAGGATGGCAGGGAGCAGTTTGCATTGCGGCACTGGCAGGCGTGAACCAGGGACTGGATGCAGCGCTGGATACTCAGGCGCCGGCTCTCCTGGGGGCTCTTTGAGGCCTCCCCGCCCTGGCTGTTGCTCTCGTCATCCAGCCCCAGGCCCCACTTAACCATTGTGTGATCATGCCCCTTAGTGTTGTAGCAGTTGACACAAAGGTCATAGTCCTGAAAAACACAACAGTAAATAAGAATTACAGAAGTCTGAACTCTAATGAAATGTAGGGCGGTCAGTTAAGTCTTCCCCCTGCCCAATTTGAACCCAGCCTGTCACTCGGGTTATGCAGTGCCCTCTTAAGGAACGAGTGCTAGGCCAATCCTGTCTTTTCTCATTACGTTCCAAAACTCAAACAACTGAGCTTGAATTTCACAGCATTCCATGAATGGAAGTGATCCCACATATGACCAATAAACCATTCTCAAACTAATCTCGGCATCCATGTGCCAACTCCCCACCACGCTTGGAGATGGCTGAGGTCCAACAGGCAGATCCTCAAACTCCAGACATATTGAAAAGCATTCATTTCGATAAAGATCCACTTTGGCCAGTTGCCATGTAAACTCCATGACCTACCGCAGTCCTCGAATGCCTACAGTGAGACTAGGAGCTTTCGAGTGCAGAGCAGGGAAAACCACAGGCAGCTTACCTCGCAGACTGTGCAGTGCCAGCGGGTCTCCACGTGATGCTTGCACTCATTGCAGGTGTAGACGAAGCGGTCCTGGCCCTGGTTGTGCAGCTCCACCAGCATGCACATAGTGGACCACTTGGAGCGCCGCAAGGAGGAAAACTCCCAGTGCTTGTCCCGAGCCAGCGTCAGGAAGGCGTCCCGCCCGTCCATCAGGTCGCAGGTGAGCAGGGGGTCTGGGTCCATGATGGGGGGGAGAGTGTTGATGACCGGACCTGAGTGGAGGTGGATCACGAAAAACACCTGCCAGGAACAGAGAGAAATCCATCAGGGAACCGCCGCTGACTCAGAGCGGCTCACACAGTCACGCACGTCAGCGGATGGAGCACAAGAAAGCAAACGGGCTTACAGCATGTTCAAGACGTAGACTGTTAAAAACTTTTAAATTCTCAATAACGCTCATGTCCGATAAGGAATATACAATTTGTTCTCCAACCTCGTAATCCTGAGAGATACTGATGAATGTTGGATATGTCCATGTCTGAAGTTGCTTTCTTATCCTACTTCAGAGAGCATGTTGATGCGATACTGTTCTATTTGGAAATGGATTACTGTGAAACCAGTGCTGTTCTTGCTTATGATTTGTTGATACGTTGACTCGCTGCTGAAACCTTAGCACTTACCTCTTTGTGCTTTTCCATGGTTGCATAAAGCTTCTGGGACAGATCATTTGACACATTCGGCATCCCTGGCTTCTTCTTATTGGCTCGACTCACGCTGCTCTTATTCTTATTGGTCTTTTTGTTGTTCTTCTTCTTAGCATTTTTACTATCGCCCTGATTGCCCTGAAACAGAACGCATACACCAAGTCAACAAACCACTTCTGCCAGGTGGGTGAAACCATATCAAAAGGTAAAGGGGTGGGGAGAGTTGATTCGTTTCCTTTTCAGTTAAATCCATGTCTTGCAATTTTATGGATCTTGTCATCCAAATGGATCTCAAGGCACTTTACATATAGGAGGGCTCTCTCCTGCCCACTGAAGTGTGAAACACACCTGGGTGACCTCTGCACGTCAGCTGATTTACACCAGCCACCCCGCTACACATCAAAGTGACCAAGTTTAAAGACTAAGTAGTCAGCATCTCAGGTCTCTCATCCAAAGAATGGCACAGTGTCTCCAGTCACCATACTCGTATGCTGGTTTAGAAATTCCCTGAGGGAAGAGCACTACTTACTGGTCCACCAACCCAAATTACAGCAACTTATTTTGTTGCCCTTGGAGGTCTCGCACACCATTACTGACCAGACCCAGCCTAACGTAGCTTCTGAGATCCTGCTATAAGGTGGGGATTCAAAAATTATACTAACTGTGATTAAGATGTGCTGCTTTACTCTTTGAAGCAACAATCTGAAGGACGATGGAAGCTTGAATGAGAGCTCTGGTAACTGTGAGCCAGGTGCAGAGAACGTGATGTCCCCAAGCTGGCTAGGCAGGACTTACAGCCTGCAGGTTAGGCTAGACCTGGGCTCACCTCTGGCATTTCACAGGCTGCAGTGTTCTCCTCCTTCTTGCGCTCCTCCTCTTCCTGCTCCAGTTCCTTAATACTCTCCTCCAACACGTTGGGCCAGAAGTCACCCTCAAAGTAGGGCAGCTCATTTGCACTGGTCAGCCGGTCCTCGGTGGCTTGCTTGAAGATATCCTGTCAGAAGACCAGATGGCATTAGCCTTCATGTTTGACACGGGTCTTGAACGCACTCTTCTTTTTGAAAGGGTGCAAGTTAGAAATACTTGTACTTTATCATGAAAACACATTTAATAATTTCTAAGACTGGGGCAAAATCCACTTCCATTTTTTAAATATCCATTTGGGAGTGACCAATGGTGAATCTATTAATTTTAATGCCGTAGCTCCGTTCCTGCACTATTTGGACCCCTGCTGGGCTATAAAAACCTGTTCAGTTCTATTCCAATGCTTGGGAAGTCCTGGTCACAGGCACTAAAAACGGGACAGGCTCAAACGAGCAATGCTAAAGACTACTCTTCCAATCCAGGCAAGGATCTTTACTGGCTGAGCCACTTGGAGGCCCTCATGACAGAAATAACTTTGCATGAGATCAAGCTCTAGTCAATTTAGAGGGCAACGAAGCCTTCAACTCAAATACTGGCCCCAACTGAAACCAAAATCTGCTCCTAACTTAAGAAAAGTAGATTGTACTCTAGCCTGTACTCAATCCTTCTACAAATTCCTTTCAAAGGCAAACTGGACAAGAGTATAACGTTGCCAATTACAGAAGATGTGTCTAGTTAAACCAGTTTTGAGTTAAAGCTAAGTACCCCCAGAAATAAAAGAAAACCCATAAGCAAGAGACCTAATTCAGTACCACAAAAATTAGGTGTGTTTCAAGATGTAGATAAAACTCACTTTATAGTCATGGATGATCCTTTCAGCGAAAGCCTTGTCCAGCATCTTCCTATACCACTCCTGCAATCTCTTGGGCTTGGGGATTTTCTGATCAGGAGGGTGACAGTGGAAGATATAGTCGTCTCCTTCACTTGGGGGACAGGCCCAGATATGACCAGTCACGTACCTGTGAAAAGAAAAGGACAAACCCAGGTTAAAACAAATCTATTGCTATTTTAACTAAATGCTAGGAACTAAAAAGTGTGCAAGCATTTGATTATTCTGAATGATGAAATTTAATTTCTGTATGTCTTGCGAAATAATGTACAAGAACTGAGTTACAGATAAAATTCGTAGACAACAAAAGCATTATCTGCTTATCATCTCCAATCTTCTATTCCCGTTACTTCCATTAATTGAATCTTCAATGTTGTATGACGAACAGCACCACAAGAGTATGACAGAATTTTGAGAAAAAGGTTTTCAACGTACCCAAGTTTCTTGACATATTCCAGATACCCAATTAGGATTTCGTGATAAACTGCAGTACGCAGACACCGAGGTTTGAAGAAATGAATACTGTCGAGGTATGATATGTATACACGCCTGCAAAAAAATAGAACATTGCAAGCATAAAGGTTACAAAGATGCGAACCTCTTTAGTTTAAATAACTACAAGTGCACATTTCCTCAGCTATGTCTTTCAAGTACCAGCTATCTTCAGGGATGACAAAGCTACAATTCCTTACCTGGTATTGGGAAACGGGCATTCAGAGCCATACTCCTGCACATGCATGCCAAAGAAACACACATCCACCCCATCAATCTCTTCAAAAGCAAAAAGTGCTTTGGTTCTGTATGGGAAGGTTTCTGACATTTCTCCTGCATCTACAAATCTGTAACAGGAACAAACAAACCTATTATCAACACAAGGAAACAATCTGGACAACTCTGATATTACTATGATGGAACGTTTCATACAGAAAACATTAAAAAGAGCTTAGATCTCTTTGAGGCTCATTCACAGAATGATTTTCAGGCTATTCTCCCTTCTTTCAGTATACTTTCCTGCTAGTGTTCAGTGATGGTCAAGGATCAAGATTTATTAAATATTAGGTGTAACAGTTATTCTAAACTACAATTAGACTTGTTAAGTCTTATTTGTTATTCTTGTCATTTCTCCTCCACAAGAAGCTCAGCCCTTATATCTACATGGATGGCTTTAGAAAGTATTGTCTTTAGATCTTTGCATCCTGCCTTAACAGGTCATACTTGCACACTGTAAAAGTTTCATATGGACGAAGGAGGTCACAAAACTTTTAAATCCCTTGCTAGGTGGGTCATGATCGGCTGTTGCACCCGACAGGTCTTGGGATTCATTGAAAGAACTTGCAAGTGGCCTTAAAGGATTGATATTCTGAAAAAAATCAAAGAGCACTGACAGTTTTAAATCCAGAGCTGATTCCCTCACCTAGCTTTCATTCCTGGTTTGACTTCCACCGTTTTGTCTGAGCTGGCCACCACTCGCACAAACACCTCCCCAGCCTCAGGGTGATTCTGTCTCTTCAAGTACTTGTTCACTCGGTCCTCTATGTACATTCCCAGCCTTGTCGACTGTAACCCTACAAAGAGGCCAGAACAACTTAAGTATTATTCAGAAAGACACATCATGTACTGGGTAAAACCACTGCATTTATTATTTATTCAAATCTCTTGAGAAGAAATATCACCATTCTTTGGAAGAGATCCTTAAACTAAGGTCCTGACTGACAGGGGTGCAAGACCAAAATTCCACTAAACATTTACTCTAAATTTAAACAGGTTTAAGCAATTTCTACTTTTTCTACTTAATTTGCTTGTGCATAATGGCTGCCACACATAACCCAGGCTGCATGCTGCACGTCCTGTCAGTAAAGTGCTTTGAGATGAGAAGCAGAAACGCAGTTATTAAGGTATGAATAAATTGCTGCTGCCTGTGGTGCTGGCGGACCAGTAGATGGCACTCTTTCTTCCAGGCCAGAATTTGCAAATCATATCCCCAGTATGACAATCAGGAACACTACGCAGCAGAAGGCGACATCCTTCAGCTGAAATGATAAACTAAGGTCCCAACTACTCCACAGTACGATGACTACTACTAAACATATTGTAGCACTTCATTAAAAATGACAGTGCTAACCCCAGAGTCCCGGATAAATTCCACTCCAGGCTCGTGCAATGCAGATGCAGTTTCTCACTATCATCATGCTCTGATGTGCTGTGTATTTGGGCTGCTGGTGCACAATGCCTACTGTCACCCAGGTGGGGGCTGCATTTCACTTTTGGGGTGAAAAACTCCCCCAAAAAAGCAAGGAATTATTCACATATAGGAATCTATGTTATTATGTGCTAACCAGTCAAGTACAGTTACAACTATTTTTAAAGGGATTTAATACTGGCAAGTTGAAAGGGTGGTACTTATCACAGGTGCCATCTATTCAAACACTAGGACCACGATGTAATGCACCGAATACAACATGTCAATAAGGGGTGGAAGGAGGGTTTCAAAATACTCTGGTAGTTAAGCTTCTGACAGCCAGAAAAACACAAAATACTTTACACTTTCATAGGAGAGTAAAACAAAGTGGCATCTCAATATAGTCATAAAAGATTGCAGTGACTGAGGGGCTCTTTTCCCCCACATCACCAGCTCTAACAGTTGATCTGAGGCACACTATTAATTTTTTTTAATGCATGACAATGACCAAGTTAAGAACTTAATAGAGAAATGGGATGCTGCACGGAAACTGAAAAGTTGTACGTGCTCTGCGTCACCTAGGAAGAACGACCAGAACCCAAGAGACTTGGGTAGGAGAACAAACTGACACTTGTTACAGTGGCGCACGCCAAGGCAGCCCAGTCAAACACATGCTTTGTGAAAACATGAGATCCTCAGGGAGCCTGAATGGATCAGCAATTGAATGGAAAGCACTCAAGCATCATTCGAAATCTACCACAAGTCCTTAAACAGATACTGCTCTAATCAGACTTTGTAACACGAGCACGTAGGAAATCTTCCAGACTTGGCACTGCGCACTGCAAAGCCACAGTCCTCCTTTTTCAGAGCACTAACCATGGAGATTCTCAAAGTGTGCCCATAAACAAGGAATCTTACAGCAGGTTTGCGACTATAACGGAGGAAAGGACTTAACCACTTACGTTTGGCTGCAAACTTGTTCTCCTTTCTTGTTTTACCAGTCTTCTTCAAACAGTTGTCGCAGACAAACCTGAAAAGAAAAGGCTACAGTCAAACTGGGAGACCAAGCACTTATCCAGTGACCAAATAAATACACATCTCAGAGCACACAAAATCACAGTAGACCAAACTGCTTACCCAGACGGCCAGATAACATCATAATGTAGTACACAGATCTGGTGCATTTTGCGTCCACAATCTTTACATTCAACAAATCTGTGGAGAGAGTTTTAACTGAGGTTAAGATGAGCCAAAGAAAACTTATTTTAAAAAAAAAATCCTTTGCTGACTTTATCTGAATTCATAAATACCTTGGGACTGCCATTAATTCTATCTTTATTTATGAAGCTAATCAAAACAGTCATGTTCATTATGCTGTCAAAAAATTCTTAAATGGATTTAAACAACACTGAATTGTATGTTCAACTGATGAGATGTTTCTGTTATTTAACACGATCTTTTCATACAGTAGAGGGTGCTGTTAAGCATATGGTTATTTTGGCACTTGTGGAGGTACTACCAAATTGAGTGAGAACTGTGGATCAATAAAACAATGGTTCAGTCATGCTTGCCCTCTCCAACGTGTAAACCTAGGATTTTATTTTCTATTTAACCTTTAGCTTATTTCAACATTTATAGTTTTACATTCCGCCACAATGTTCTCTTTGCCAAGTTAACTCCTCCTCTGACAAAAAACCTGGAGATGGCAAGGGAAGTAACGAATTCTCACTTCATCCATCCCTTCAGTGCAATCTAACACAGCCAAAGAGCTCTACCTAAACAGGTGCAAGTAAGGAAGCAACAGCAGTTCTGCTTAATGCTATCTCTTGCCCCTTCAAGCAAAACCGCAATCCAGAAAATGGACAGCAAAAGTATTGTCATATTTAAGTGGGACTTACGGTTCAGGGTCTAATGTGTCGTTTTTCTTCTTTTCAAACTGGTCTTTTGATATCATGCTGCAGGGGGAAAGTGTGCAGATAGAGTTAGCACAACCCACTGAATTCAACACAAGACTAGGTACTGCTGCAGCAGGGCCTGTAGGATAGACATGATTGGGTGCCCAACTGCAGCTCGGAGGTGAGAGTCTTCAAATCGGAACTTAAATAGTTCAGATGAACTATTTTGAACTAGTTTAAACCATACACAAAACTCGTAAAGATCTATATGCACACAGAATGCCAATAAGGGAGACTCTATGAAGAGGTTATGTATTTAATTAACACCAGCGGGGTTACTCAACATTGCAATAAACAGGGGCACGGGATTAGATGCCACAGACTCAGAGAACTCAACTGTTTAGGAAATAGATTTAGAATGATTAAGCGAGCAAATGCAGGAAGTTGGGAAATCAACTTTTTTAAAGAAAGCATCTCTAAAAGTTCATTATTGAAGGATCTGAATGTTAACCAACCCATAATCAACATTAGTACCAATAATGAATGCATATCAGAGGTTTTGGATTTTACTTTTACCAAGAACAAGTAGTAATAAAAATGATGCATAAACGCGAGTTATTACAAAGCACAGAATTCAACAAAATCAAAGCACCCTTTTCACTGCAGGACTTAACATGAACACCAACTCTCTTTAAACTCAAGTGTTTTACCATGCGAGCCCCCCTGCATGGTTCACGTGGTTAGATCACTTACGTTTGTGGCTGTGCAGGGTCGTCCCCCAGGGTTACACTTTCGCCCTGGATTTCGTTGAAACACTTCTCACAGAAGTGATACCTGTCAGCAAGAAGGCCATATTTGGGTGAACTGGACCGTCAAACAACACAGCCACCCGAACAATTGGCGCCACCAATCAGAAAGCAGGGCAGAGCACCACGGCGAGAAGGGGCAGGCGTTGGGTTGGTTGGTTGATGGAAGACGGGACAATGAACAGGCAGGGAGGGGGTGGGATCGGGGATTAGACGCAAAGGGAGTTCAGGGGATGAGAACAAGTGGCACAGGACAATGAAAGAAAAGGTAAGACGCCAACACAGAGACAAAACAGCAGAGAGCCAAAGCAAAGCACAGGTTAGCAGTCAGTCTCATTTCAAACATCTGGCATTCTGTTCTTAGGTAAAAAAAAACACTACAAAAGGTAGGGTCAGATTTAAGAATGTGGCACTAATTTTTTCTCCATTTTAACAGATTAACTTTAGCATTGAGAAACAGAAAAATGGTTTTAAGATCCATTTCGAGTTCTCTGCATAGAACTTTTATTTACAAACCAAGTAACTAAGCTATTCTGTTAAAATGGCATTTCTCCAATGGATTACTCTTCATATGGAGTTTTTATTATGAAGGCTTGGTGCAGTGCACCAGCATTCACAGGAATATTTTACTTTCTATAAAGTTGCTGAACAAGATTAATTTGACAAAGAAAGATTTTTCAACTGACAAAAAGATTTTAGTTTAGAAACATGTAAAACATTTACAACGATCAAATTAGTTTACTAAATTAGCTTTTCAAGTTGAAATTAGTGTTTTGCATACCATGCATCATGTTAAAAAGGTTTAAAATGTTCCCTTTCAGGATTTAGAGATAAGTGGTTTCAATATTTTGGAAAATGGCAGATAGTGGCAGAAAATACAGTATAGGGCGAGCTGGATTTAATTTAATTTACTTTTACATCTGAGAATTTTTTTCATATCTGTTATGTGAACAATCTGCACTTGAGACAATAAATGCAAATCCAGATTTTTGACCAGCTGTAGTGAAATGATCATTAGACAAAAACCGAAGGATGCTTGCAAAGCTAAGACAGTTGAACAGGATAGAGATGAAATTAAGAAGCGCGTACAAGCTTGGAGGATTAAGGAACACAGGTAGCCGAGGTGCAAACATTGATTAGGAATGGGAAGGAGACAGGGTGAGGAAGGCAGTGAAGCAGGTAATGGAATACAGCCATTTTGGAAAACACACCCCAGAAATACACAATTCTGCACAGTGTACTGACCGAGAAGTTTACATCACTTACACCTTGCACTTATGGCACAACTGAAATCTGTTCAGATTAAACTTATGCTGCAATCCATCTGACCTTGCCTATCTCAGCCAGTCGAGCAAATCCCAGAAGACTGCTACCACACACCCCAAGTGTTTCAATGGCAGGCACAATTAAAATCTCCCCATGAAAACTTATTTCAGAGTTTAGAGATACTCTTAGTGAAGTCACACTATAGCAGGAATGGTCAAACTTGAAAATGTGAACATGCAGTGTGGCTCTCGGGAATCACTGCTGCCCAAATTCCAAATGACCTGGGGCATTGAATTTACTACTGATGATTTAAGAAACGGTGACCCTGCAAGAACTACTGGAGAGAGGCTGTCCAGCACCAGGGTCGGTCCTGCCAGCTCAACTTGCATCATCAAGACTGGCTCTGCTCAATAGCTTCTGAGAACTCAGCATTTACCAGACCAACCACCTCAAAATGGCGAAATCGCCAAGAACATTCTTCAATAAGCACATGCATTCAAAAAGCTCAAATTTCTAAATTCAAAATGTCCAGTCCCACTATCAGAATAAGTGCAAACTATAGAAACACAAAATGCAGTACTACCTAAAAAAACGTATTTCTTTTACATTTCTATTTTGTAAAGGGCCAACATATCGTTGATGCACAACATCTCCAAATAACCTATTTCTTGTTTTCTAACATTTTAGTACAAAATGTAAAGTTTAAATTCTTTGATAAGATTAGTTTAAGCAATCCTTCTACCACAAGCAAAACATTTCAACAGGTATGGAATTGACACCTCTGTGTATGCATTAGTTTTTCACCATCACCAGTTTGTCTTATTCCATCAGATATTCACCCGTGTGTAGTTTATTAATATTTCACAGCACCTCCAAGAATAAAGCTGAGGGTAATATCTTACCAGTCACCGAGACAGACACCCCCTCCCCTTCGTATATAAACTCTGTGAGGATATCACTAGGTGTAAAATTTCCTATTGCCACTACATAACCAAAAAAAACAAACACTATGTGGTTCCTGTAACACTTCTTAAAACAGGATGCACCAATCAAAATTTTGACTCAAGACACAGATTGTTCACAAAATAGATTAAGTTTATTTAGCCAGACACATCAGGGGTAGCAACCCCCCCCCATGTGATCAAAGACAAACTACATCCAAGACCTTAAGCAGACCCACCACTCCTCCCCATGAGAAACCATGCTCATTTAAAAAAAAAAATAATCTCAAGTCTACAGCACACCTGATGTGGAAAATCAGAGGCATAAGAACATAGAAACATTAGAAATGAGTGGAGTACATCCAGCGGGTAGTGATTAATTGATCAAAGGATCTCACCTAGCCTTTTCCTGAAAGAAGCCAGGGTATCAACCATAGCTGGGAAGCTTGTTCCATTCTCCAACAATGGAACGAGTTTAAACAGGCTTTATTTCTAGTTATTGCACACAACTCAGGGGGTAATTTTAAGTAAGGCTCTACCAAACTTCACTGAATGCCACTCCATGATGCCGTATTACAATGGCATAGGACTGATTAAGTGTGCTTCTGTGTAAATGATCCTGTTTTAGACAGACACCAAGTCCCCACCTCAGCGCGAGCAACAGGCAGAACTGGGATGTTCTGCAGTTATGGGCAGAAGTAATAACAGGGTCATAGGATAGGAAATCCCAAAAGATCAGTTTGTGTGTGCAGAACTTGTTTTGCACTTTTTCCTAACAGATAACTCTTCATAGCCCTGTTGTCACTGGTCTTGTTTGAGTTTTACAATAAAGGGCTATATCGTATGCAACCCCTGATTCACAGGACTTGAACATAAATTTGGAGGTTGGGAAATTGCAACTTACTGGAACCACACAATTTTGCAATCAAGAGGACCACTACAAAATATAAAACATCCAGACAAAGACTTAAAAACAACTGTACTCAAAAAAAGTAACACAGATAAACCAAACATTTGAGTCCAAAGGAATGATGTCCATAGCTATCCTACCCAGTAACAGGATCAATATCAACATTGTAGCGGTCATCTTCTAACAGGCTTGCACAGCTCTTCTGTTCAGCTTGTCTGAACTGGCCGTATCCCACACCAGTTCACTCCTAGCAGCTACACTTGGCATTCCTTACCTGTTCTGGTAACTGTAGTAAGTGGCATCGCGGGGGATGGTACACAGCTGCTTACCATAGCAGCACAGAGTCTGTGGCGAAAATTCATACTGCGAAAGGAGAGAATTCAAGTAAGGACCTTCCTTCAGTATTTTTTACCAACTTCAGACTTGCAAAATCTGTCAAGGCTGGGTAGGGTGGAAACTAGCAGTGTCACAAGCCTAGGGAGCTCCCAATGGAGAAAACTACATCAAACACCCTGGAAATCCTGTAATTATAAAAGACTACATTTAAACATTGCAATCTTTTCCCTTCACGCATTAATAGTTGAACAAAGTACAAATACTTCAAACAGTTTAAATTGCAATGATCAATATCAATTAACCCTGATGCACTGAGTCTGCACGAGTGAAATCACTATCTCCCCAGCACTGTGCTGAAGAAATCCAGAGGGACACCTACCTTTCGACCACAGCAGTACCCAAGGGACTGCATGACAGGATCAATCTCTTGCTCAAAGACCTCGGCCAGCTTAGTGCAGTATTTGTATACTCGGGAGGTCTTGCGGTTGTAAAGCCAGGCGTTGTTGAACATCAACCACACATCATCCACGTACTGCCAGGGCTCCTGGTATTGTCCTGTGTCCAGCTTCCTCTTGATTGTGGACAGGTCAATTGGGTTTTTCACAATGTCAAAGTAATCCTGCAATGGAGAAAGAAGCGGTTAACCCAGTAAAAGCTAACAGAAATAATCTAATCCAGAGATAACTTAAAAAAATGTCAGACATTTTCTAATTCCAAAAACAAGTCACACCAACACTTTACTGTATAACCACTGTTCTTTCATAGACATAAGCACCGTAATACTCAAATTATTGTCGTTAAAGCACTTCGTGGTGTTGCAGTTGTTGAAGATGCACACATTTGCTGTACAAAGACTTTTGCCTCATTTAGTATACAGTCACGTTCCCAGTGAATTCATTTTGAGAAATCTTAAGTAACTGCAAACCATTTTACATCGTTTCCATCCAATTTTACAATCAGATGCATTTTTAACTTTAACAACCTTTCAGTGAGATCATGAATACATTTGATCTAAATTCCATTAGAAAAATAAAAAATGGCTAATTCTAACAAATGCTCTTGGCAACAAGAAGAACACACACGTCAGGATCTACGTCACACTCGTGCTGAAGGTCTGAAAGGTTCTTTTCTCCCGCTCAGCAGACTGCCATTCACCACTTACGCCAACAACTTCTTATGTGAACACAAGCATATTTAATGTGTACAACTGTGTGTTCCACACCGAAACACAATCGCTGTATCTGCAGGACCTGAGCTACCACTGCGACTTACAGGGATTCCCAGGAGCTGTGGGTCAACAGGTTGCCTGAAGGGCAGAGATTCTGGGTCTTGCCGGTACAGCGCTTCCAGTGTGGGCATCAGAGCCTGCCGCAACTCCTCAGGTTTGAAAACTGGAAAAATCAGAAAGTCAGACAAGGTTACCGCTTTGCCAGATCAGAAAATGGCACTGAAATACACTTTTTGAGAGGCCTGACTAAAACTTCTGACCTATTAATACAGCACTACTACAATGCCGCTCAAGATAAATGCTTACTCTTTCTGCGAGGCTGAGAGGGGGATGTTGACTGGGTTGTGCCATTTGCCCCGCCTTCCTCTTCCTCTTTAGACTCCACCTTTATTTCAGGTTTCTTCTCCTCCACCTCCATTGGCTCCTGCTTTGGCTCCACCCCTTCGGCCGCTTCCTTCGTCTGAGACGCCAAAGCCACAGCATCGTCTTCAGCCTGCAAAATGAAGATATGCTACCGTCATTTCTGCCGCTCCTCTTAAAGAGGAAGAAAAAAGGCCGTGAATAACTCTGCAGGTGGCATATGACCCTTCCCCCACGGACAGGTCTCAGCCCCGGCCTGCGTACCTCTTGTACGGGTTCGGCATGCGATTCGTTCGATTCAAATTCCAGCTCCTCCTCCTTGTCTTCGGGCTTGGGGTCTGGCGCGGGTACGTCAGGCGCAGGCTGCTGGGAGTGCACCTCTGCATTGTTGACGGAGGCCGGGGTGGGCACGCGGTTGTCGATGCTAGCGGCGGCCTGGGACAGCTGCGCAAGAAAACGGAAAACGCTCGCTTCACTGCGCCAACATCACAATCAAGGACAGTGGAGGGTCGCTCTAGTGTTGCCAATAAGGCCGCTGTATCAGCACCCTTACACAAGGAATTCCCTATGGGACACGCGTTCCACAGAAAAGCCACCGGGGAGCTCGTGGTGCAGGGATACTCACCGGAGTGGTGGGCGGCTGCACAGAAGTGGGCTGCTGAGGCTGCACAGTGGGTTCCGCCTGTGCCTGCAGGGGAGTATGCGGCTGGGCGGGGACCTGGCCGGGGGCCGGCCCGGGAGGGGTGCTCTGTGCGCTAGCCGCGCTCGGAAGGACACTGGGAGTGGGGGTGGGGGTGGAAGCCCGCCCCCCTGACGAAGCTGGGGTGGAGGGCTGCGCCTGCGGGGGGTTCAGCCCCTGAGGCGCCTGGTGCGGCAGAGGCTGCATGCCGGTGGCGGTGGTGGACGCAGGCGGCGGAGTCTGGTGCAGCGGAGACTGGGTGACCGGGGGGCAGGGCAGCTGCGTACTGAGGGATCCCAGCGTGTTCATGGGGAGATTAGCGTTCTGGCTCTGCTGTTGCTGCTGCTGCTGCTGCTGCTGCTGTTGCTGCTGCTGCTGCTGCAAGACAAAGAGCACACAGGCACCGGTACAAATTACAACCCTGTGCAAGGATCTAACTTCTCTTCTTAGGACCTCTTGACAAGTGAAGATGCTTTTGTAAAGGCTGAACAATTTAAAAAATCATTCAGTTAGAGGGCTTTATCAAGGCCAGTAAGACAAAACACCAGTTGTATAAACTAGCGGCTATTGTAGATTTTCTTTTATATTATACTGATGTGCAATCGAAACCAAGCACTGAACATCAAGAGTGCACCAAGTACATGTCTTTATAAAACAGATGTAATTTAAGTTAGCAGTGTTGGCTTTTGAAGGCAGATCTCACTGCAGCTCGACTGGGTTCAATTCCGGTGCCACCGGTGGCGGTGGCACTGTGGCTAAGGATCTGTGCCTGTGGCTGGAAGGTTGCCGGTTCAAATCCCACGGCTGGCAGAGGAATCCTACTACGTTGGGTCCCTGAGCAAGGCCCTTTACCCCAACTGCTCCAGGGGTGCTGTACAATGGCTGACCCTGTGCTCTGACCCCGAGCTTCTCTCCCTATCTGTGTGTCTGTGTCTCATGGAGAGCAAGCTGGGGTATGCGAAAAGATGAATTCCAAATACAAGAAATTGTATATGGCTAATAAAGTGGTCTTATCTTATATCTTGGAGCCTGGCTTGGGTACTTGAGCTATGTTGATCTGCACGATGTAAACGTTCAAAGACTATTCTGATAAATGCAAAAATAAAGCAAGATGCAACCAGGTTTGAGTAATGAAGATGGCCAAGCTACTATGGGCTAAACTGAAAGCAGCCAGTCTATGAAAAGCTTTCTCGAAGAATGAGATGTTTAGCCTCAGTGAATCAAGTCCAGAGAAACCAAGAAACCAGCTCTGTGAGGCGTAGGCCATGGACTTGAAAGCAGAGGATTACCACACCAGCCCTTGACACTTATATTCATCAATCTTCAAACAGCAGGGGCTATTGCACAAGAGGATCCATGAAGAAAGAAACCATGCTTCAGTAGAAGTTCTACTGCATTCGGTGATCTGCGTGCTTGGAGGCCTTTCGGGGATAACACTAGCATCTGACAGACGACATCAGGACGACCTTTGGACACAAGGATGTCCAAGGCAACAGAAGAACGTGGCAGAGTGTTTTATGTAGTGATGAAGGACATTGAGTCCCTAACAGGGGCAAAACCTTACAAACCGCAATTTACGTGGAGACAAAATGGTGAGTTGCATTGTTCAAGCAAACCACTGGCGGAGGTGGAAGTGCGGTGATCTCCTTTAACATAACTGCACCTTTGGTGTCGACTCAGGGCAATCCTACAATAAAGGCCTTGGGCCAACAAGTCTTTCCATTCCCCTTAGGCAATACATAAGCATTCATTTTCCCGCAGGCCAGTGCAAGACCATACAGTGTCAGGATTACAATGTTCAGGTTTTGTTGCGGCCGTCTTTTTTTCCCTGATCCGAGTCCAATTAATTTGTGGGAACAGATCACCGATGCCAGCAACAGGAGACGACGGAGACTGAACAGCCCTTGCCAGCTGTCTGCAGCTCCACAGGAAGAGTGGCAGGACATCATACAGCAGTCTGTCCAGAGGCTGATGTGGTCTACGTGCCAACGCTGCCACGATCATGTCAATGCTGAGGGAGGTTATGCGGTACTAGCACTAACATTACGAGTGTCATTTTTTTAAATGAAGACTTAAATGTCTATTTGATCTGTTGTTTTTCCTCATTTTCCTATGATTTTTTGTTAACTACTTAAATCTTTTAAGGTTTAAGGGCAGCATTATTTGTGCATCAATATATATTAAAAAGTCCATTGTTCTCATCAGGAGCATAAAAGCTCAATCCGATCATGTTTAAGACAACTAAACTGTGTGGTAACTACTTTTCATTTAATAAGAATTCCATTTCACATCATCAGAAATATTATTCATCAATTTTCATCTTATTAAAAAGGCTGCAACCACTTTCCTGGCTGTAAACCAAAGTAAGAGGAAAAATGTTTCTAAATCACTTTTGAGGACAGGCAGACTTAAGCTGCCTGACCCCCCACCTAAACCGAGGGCTTCCATACCTGTGTCACCGCTGCCTGGGCTGAAGGCTGCCCCATGGTCACATTCACATTCATAGACCCACTGGATGGTGGGAACTGGTTCTGGGGCATGAACTGGTTCTGGTTTGCCGTCTGCCCAACCATACTGTTAGTGTGGGCTCCCATAATACCCTGGGCTTGTGGCATTCTGGAAGGAGACATTCCCATCTAGGAAACAAGACAAAGTGGGAGGCTTTATGCAGTTCTTCTTGTTCAAAGAACGATATCAGGATGCTTTTATCTGCAGAAAAGGGGCCATATTTTCCATAAGAACAACTCGAAGAGAAAAACTTCACTTTTTTTTTTAAGACACTGACTAGAAGTCACATACCAGAAACAGATGGTTTTATGATTAAAACTAATGCTCACAATGCATGTCATTCTGGAAGAAAATACATGAACAGTGGGCTCATGACAGCCTCACTGTATATGTTGGAACCAATCTATTGCTGACTTGGTTACATCTTATTCACACAGTAATTAAGCTCAAGAAGGAGTGATGGTCAGTCAAATGCACTGTATAATTTTACTTTGTATGTTAAGTTCAATAATTCTGAACCTGTAAAGAAAAATGGTTTGCTTACTGCTGGAACAGAGCCCATGCTCATCTGCACTGGATGGTTCATAGGGGAAGCTGCACGAGGTCCCATGGGGGTCTGTGACATCTGCACATTCCCCATAGCCATGGGGTTAAACTGGTTTACTCCTGGCAAGAGCCAGAAACAGAGACAATTAGTATTCAATTAAGAGACAACTCAGGTGAACTAATTTAATATCACCGAGCTCCCCTGTTAGCAGGTTTCAGGAGGAAGAGCAGCAGTGAAAACAGACGCAGATTGAACTAGTACTATTATCATACATACAAACTGCTGGAAACCGGCACCAATTCCCAGCAGAGAGCAATTATGACAACAACTGACGCCTTAAGACCTTATAATAAGCCTTACTACATGCCCATTCCAAATTCATATTCTTAAGGCTCACTAGCAAGTGCTTTCCTGTTGGCATTTCACCAAAAAAACTTCTTGGATCTGCATTTGAGAATTTTACATGTTAGACAATAGCTTTGCACTGCTTCATGTGCATTAACAACTGCAGGGGTGAAGTACAATGAAACTAGAAAGGTTAACCTCAGTTTTGACAATCAAATTCAAAAGGTACCCAACTTCATAGACATTTTCAATTGTTCTACCCTTGATTCATTTATTCTTTAAACAGAAAATTCTAATCTGGAATTTCAGTCATTTTAAGGTAATGGTTAATCCTGATTTTATAGAATAAGAACAAGGCTTTAACTTAGAGATGAATACAAGAGTCAATTAGGTCTGATCAGTTAAGATGATGTAGTGTTGTAGAAGTTAAACCATTTACAATTTAAAAAATGCTAAATAGAAAGCAGTTTCTTCTCATACAGAATAAGCCATGTCAAAATTCTAACAGGAAACACCATCAAAGGCTCTGAATAAACTGTTTATGCCCATGGCATCCTAAGACATTTACACAGCAGCAGTACTTTAACATAACTAGCAATAAGTAACTTGAACCTCATAAAGTACTAATTACTGCAATATAAGATGATACGCTTGAGGAGCAGACAATGAAATGGAACCGAGATGACTTCAGGTTAAGTCTCTAATGTGTCCCGTGCCAAAATAACTCTCCCAAAAACCTGAAACAGCTTTGGGGGATTTAACTGTAATGAAGGACATTACTAACCATCTGGCCTGTGCTACAAACTTAGGATGACCTCACAAAAAAGCATTCCTTTGCTTTAAAGGGAAGCGGCTCCTGTTTTTTAGGAACACTGTTCTGCTGTATACTTGATTATTTTTTAACTCAAAAGCATGCGTTTTCAGATTATTCAAATGCATGATTCAAAAGGAAATGGATATCTGAAAAGTTATGTCTGAACACTAATAGAAACAAAAGGAAAATTAAAACTGAGCTTACTGCGCATGACAAAAGCATTTTAATAAAAATAGGGGTTATGACATCTTTATATGCATATTGCACTAAGCAGACTTTTATAGCTAATAAATCTTTTATTAGCATTCTTAGCAGTTACTAAAACACAGAAAGGAATCTAAACCATGCATTAAGCTAGCATTTTCAATCATAAATGTATCTATACTTAATCTATTCAGCTCTACACATCTGCTGATATTTTCAATGGCAACAAGGAGAAATACCTGGTGAAACTTGAATGCGATTCATGATCTGATTTGGCACATTGGGAATAGGCATGGGTCCATCTGAAAAGTGGAGGAAAAAAAAACACTGTAGTACATGATACAAGTCATGGCTCTCTCCCATCCCAACAGATTTGTCCCCCCCAAAAAATTAGATGCTTCAACAGCTACTTGTAATCCGCTTTAAATTTAGAATCCCCTTGTACAACAAACTGTAATGGCCACAAGCAACAGGACCTGAAACATGTACTAAAACCCTGTGAGTCCAGGAAGAGGCTGGACAAGCCTCAAGACAAGCAAACAGGTCTTCCAAAACATATAATGCTGAGCTACTTGTTTCTTCCACACTGCAAGCTTTGAACACAAGCTGCAGGCTTTCCATGTCATGGAAGAGCGATGAAACACAAACAGGAGTGGACACACAGCATTCCAATGAGGCAGAAGAGATGGGCGAGTTGGGGTAGCAGTATGTATAAAAAACCATACACAGCAAGCAAATTGAGAGGAATTAATGGTGCTCACATTCAAAAGTGTCAGAAATGTTTAAAGAACTTAGTGTTAGCAGTAAGGTATCACAAATTCGGTTAACTGGTATAATAAAATCAGGAATGTGTAAATGAAGAAACGTTTGTAATGGTATATTTCAGTTTTCATCCCATAAATTGGGAAAAGCCATAAGGAATGACCATCAGATTAAACAAATGGTATATTGCTATTTTGCTAATGTCTTGCTAATGTCTGGTTGCTAATGTCTGTTTATGAGTTTGCCGGGAAAATATATATCTACACATTTATGTGGTCTTTTTAAACAAAAAATCTCAAGTAAAAAAAGAGAACTAATAGGTACATGTAATATGGTAGGCTTGTGCAAATATTTGAAAAAATATGTTTATTCAATATTGTAACCACAATAAAATGGATGATGAAAGGGAAAGAGGATGGTGGTGACCAAGGGTTACCTTGTTAAAATTTAACAATGCAACAAAATCTCATTTAGAGGACTGTGCACAACTGTGCAGTAAAGCCAATGGACTCCCAGCTCACTGCAACCTATGCAACTCCTGACATCATCACCCTAATTGCAAGATGCCCCCCGGAAGCTCTCAATCACGGGAGCCTGATGGCATAACTCAATTTCAACAGGGAACGTCTCTCGTAACGTGTAGAGGTTTCCACTGCACCAAGCACTCCGGATATCAAAGCATTTTTGAAAACACAGGGAAAGATTTTCACAGCTGGTAGTAAATGCCACAGGACACAAATAACCAGAGCATGGAATAAAGTAAAACCCAAACAAAACTTAGGCTGCTAGATCTAGATCATTTGCCAACAGGGTGCCTTGTTTAGTGTACATTACAGAAAGCTGCCACCGTTACACCATTGTCTTAAAACTACATTTTATACAGTAGGTAGCACAACCTCTGAGAGTTACAAAGCACAGACGATCACTGAGTAGCTGGACTGACATCTTCAGAGAATTTAACAACCAATAAGCACAAATACCGACACAAATCTACCCATTAACCGTCTTAACATCTGAAGGTAACTTAAAAAATGTTACTGAAGCAAACATTGCCTCTTGAAAACAATACAGAAATATAATATTATATGGGGCAATTATGTATATACCCAAATTTAAAACAATTTTATGCTTTTACCATAAGAATCTTTCCTGAAATGGTAGCATTCCTTCTAGATAGTGAATGGGTGAATGGTTACTGATGTTTCATTACATGTTCATGCATTTGCCATGTCCAGGCATCCCTCATACTGCAGCCCAGGGCTTCAGAGTACTTACTGTGCGGTCTCACAGCCTGAGTAGGGCCCATGGCTGAAGGCTGTGCCAGTCCTGGCTGCTGGCCGCCTGGGGCAGCCATTGGTGCTTGATTAATGCTTTGCTTCTGAAGCCTAGACCGTCTCTTCTCTTCCAATTCCTTCTGAATCTTGTAGATCTTCTCTGCCAGGAAATGGTAATATTCATCCTGCAGGGACAGAGGAGCACATGAAGCCATGACCACAAGTAGCACAACATGCAGCTCCATCAGAAAACAATCTCTGCCCGTTACAGTGCTCGGGCAATACATTTCTACAGAAGATACATTTATAGCAGCTTTTGGAGATTAATGTACTACTTTGCCATCTGAACTTATGACTTCAGATATTCTAAAATAATTACATTATAAAGCTGCAGACAAAATATACCCACTTGTGTACGAATATGATACACAGCACCACAAATGTGGTATGGAGTCCAACCAAATGGAGTCAGAAACAGTTCTTTATTCTAAAGGAGCCCTTCACCTTAACCTTAGCAATTCTTTTCACCGATCAGTGAACATACCCGGCTGTTTGCAGATTCGTACATATCTCCCTCCACCTTCCGTGCATAAGCCACCAGGTTCTCCATGCGGCGATCCTTCAGAGCAGCCGGGTCTGGTGTGGGGAATATGGCTTGAACACTGAGTGGGACAAAAGCAATGTCACTGTGTTATTACTTCTAATCAGCAGAGTCGTTTCAAATCTCAAGTTTAAAACTTTTGCAAAAACATCCCTATTCTAAAAAAAATGTACATAGTACTATTTTAAGATCAAATGACTCAAGACTTCCCCATATTATTAACATTTCTGGCAGCAATCTTATCTGGAGTTAAAACAGAGTTGTAACCTCACAAGACTCTTATAACGAAAGATGCAAACGGTTCATTTTAACAGCATGGTTTAAACTTCTAGATTTAAAAACACCGGCTACTAAGATCTGGCCAGTAAGAGGCCAATTTTTTAGAAGAACTCGATTCTTTAGTGATAAAATCTATAAAAAAGGGAATAATTAACTACTTTTTGTTTGTAATATGGCTTCTCTAGTGTGCAAGTTAGACTTTCTTCTAATGCAGGCTAGAAGTCCACTTTAAGGCATCTGAGGATTTCCAAACCAATACATAAACACATAGAAAACATCCACTAACTTTAACTGGGGAAAAAAGCCTCTTTGCTGCCAAACCCCCTTCAGATATCAGAGCGACCCTGCTGCAACTTACAGTTTGTGTACCAAGTGATTGCGCAGGTCCTGAGTGACATGTTCGTGCCAGGCTTTCCGCACGCCACTGGAGGAGAGCGGAGCAGCGGTGGGCATGCTACCCATGTTTGCCACATTGCCCACGCCTGTGCCATCAGGCATCAGCTGACTGGAAGGGGAAAACAAAGAAGAGATTTAACCTGAGGTGTAACTTAAAATAAGGCACAAAATTCATAAAGTCTTTGATGTTCAAAAGGAAAAGGTATACTCCACCTTAACTCCCAGCCAAGCACGGGTTACATTAAACAGAAGCAAGGAAAGACATTGAAGTGTTTAAAATATGCTGTGTTAGGTGTATGGAATGAATATACACATACTCTAAAAATGCAAAACTCTCAATAGAGGTCAAATAGTATTCACAAGCCAGCATCGTATTAACAGCAGAATCAGAAGGCAATGAGGAAATTGAACAACAGCATTTTATTAACAACAGTCAAAGCTCACACTTACTTTGTGGTATTGAGTGAGGAAGGGAGAGAAGAGTCTGACAGAAGGCTGGTCTGCTCAGGGGCTGGGACGCCCATTCCTCCTCCACTAAGGTTCATCTGATTAGTGCCTTTAAACAGCGTAAAACAGCCAGAAAGCCTCAAGTTAACATGTTTATTGAACATATGGTTGTATGTTTCAGCAATGGAAAACAAAACATAGAAGAGGAGCTAAACTCACAAAGAATTTTTACCACTTATTTCACCGCAGGTTTAAGTATTATATCCCATAGCTTCCTCAGAAGCAGCATACTTCCAAAGGGAGAAGAACACCGACACCTACCGAGTGTGTTCATGGGCCTCATCTGCTGGTGGGGCTGTGTCTGTGCAGTCTGCTGGCCTGGTACCTGAGGCTGGGTCTGTGTGGGGGGCTGGTTGCCGTACGGCAGGCCAAGAGCTGCATAGGCCCTCTGCATGGAGCTGGGGTCAATGGGAGTAGTGCTATTGATGGTGGGCGTCGTCTGCTGGCCTGTTCCCACAGTGCCAATCGAATTCTGTAAGCCTGCGCTGGGCGAGCTCAACATCGCTGTGTAAAGCACAAACACAGGTTGGGTAAAAAAAGAACCCTACGGTTAAGTGTTGCAAGACTTGTGAAAGGAGTAACATGTTTGAAAAAATCTGTTAAAACCACACCAATACACTTAGAAACTTAATCGAAAAAAAAAAAGGCCTATTCTTAGAAAATGAGAAAATATTTTGCACAGAACACAGCTAGCCAGAGTAAACTACATCCTTCTGTCGAAGAAGCATGTAGTGGAGAAAGATGCAAAACAGCTGCGTGTCTGTAGGTCTGCAAGCGCTCTCAAGGGCTGCTGTAGGGGATTTAAATGAGTCACCAGAATTTCAGCCAATCGCGCTGCAGCCCCTCCCCTGCTTCTCAGATTACCAGCGCTACAGGAATCTGTCTCAAGAACAGCCCTCTCTCCCTTTCACAGCTTCACAGCTCAGGGTGCGCAGCTCTTCACCACCCCCTGCATCCTGCAGGGGGCGCCACAGAGACCACTGCACTAACACACGGGCCGAATGGGAAAAAAAGTCTCATAAAAACTGGATAAAACTAGCATTAGAACTTAATATCACAATGCTGGAAATTGCTCTTTACCATATCTAACAAAGGGTTAAGTTAGTGTAAAAAAAAGTCAGTGTCTTATGTAGAATATTAATAAAGTAGAGCTGGTTGCCTGTGGTAGCAAGTCCTTTCAATTCTTTCAAAATTTGTATCAATGAAGAAAATGAATAAAAGGCATAAAATCACCAGTTGTCTACACAAAGCAACTACTATTGTTCTAACAGTGCTGTGTGGGTGAGTAGAACTGCACGTACGCTGCTGGTTTCTCTTGTCACTGGCGTTTTTCAGAGGGAGACAGACAGGACAATCGTGTCGAGTGCAGTTCTTCCAGTGGGAGATGATTTGTCGAGAAGATGCACAGTGAGCAACTGCAACACCAGGAAAAACATTAAAAACTGATTAGAATTTAAGTTTGGATTTTGTTTTATAGGAGTATCGGATGGAACTCATCAGATAACTGTAATAACTGGATTTACATTTGCTGTCAATGGGGCAGATGACCAGTTCTGAATGTGTTTAAGAACGAAAACGGGTGGATTTGTGACTGACCACGATACACTTGAGTGACTAAATATTGCATAAGCACTCAGGTGTGGTGAAAATAAAAAAATGACCAAATTGCGCTGCAAAACAAAACAATAAGACCTTCATGCCATCAATATGTTGGAGACTGGTCTAAGTCTAAGATGAGTTGTGATCAGCCACCAATGTCAAAGTCAAACAATCCACCAATGAAAGGCCTGTTTCATGTAAAATGCGAATGTGAGAATTTTGCGGTGGTTCCTATACTTGCCAGACATTTGTGGAGGAGCTGGGATGACAAGCGGCCTCTAGGACTCATAGACTAGTGAACAGGCACATGCTTGTCCAGCAAGAGTGGTACTGAACTTGACGTCACTAATTACGACAAAGGACACAAATGAGCAGACTGGCTTCATGGAAAACTAGGGAATGTGATAGTAATTTACCAAAATAATACATTCTGACAAATGACGATATAAAAAAACAATCATCACCTTAGTGCAGACCCACAGAGAGCTGTGCATAATGAAATGATGAAGTAAAAGCATTCCCATCAGTTTATGAAACAATTTGGATCTCTCCAATGACACTCATAAAACTAAATTTTACTATGGCAACCACAATTTCTCCGATGACAAGTGAACCCTGGCTCAAAACAAAAACTTGAAACTGATCACCTGTCCACACACCATGAGGGCATGCAGTCCCTGACCTGTTACATTACAGTCGTCTTGATTTGGAAGAATTACAAGACTTGCATTATCACTATATACATAGGAACATATGTTTCAATACAAAAGGAGGTCAGAATGATGGACGCGTGGATGACAATGTAGTCACAACATACAGTGTGGAGTACGCCTCGTTCTCACTGCAGTCAGCCTGGGCAAACCGAAACGCACATCTATCCTCATACCCTGCAAGATGCTGACACTGTCAGAGTGAAATAAGGCTCATCATCACAACCAGCCCCTCCAGAAAAAGAATAAGAGCTCTTCTCTCAATTCACTAAATGGGTTTCTTTCTCTGTTGGAGCTAAGGGCTATGCTCAAGACGTAACATTGCCCTAACTAATCAGTCACCGCCACACTTTGTTTAATTTTCTCAAAATGTTAATTTTTAATGTTTTGCACCTTTAAATCTGGCAATAGTTTTAACAAGAAGATGGAAATTATCAAATGCAGAAATGCTAAAAAACAAAAGAAGGTAACAGTTTACAAAATAATGAGTAAAAAAATGAACTTTAAATACTGAGTCTAGAGCAACTTTCAACCTTTACTTGACAGGAAGATTAAAAAGGCACATACAATATATACCACAGCAGCCATTTACGTTACACGCCACTTACTCTTGAAAGCTCCACCCCTCCTAGTTAAATCAGCTGGCATGAAAAAATCATTTTGACTGGCTTCCTCAGAATTTCTTCATTTGCAACGGCATTCGCCAATTACTGCGGCAAAGAATAACCACTAAGGCTGACTGCGTACATGCCACATCTGGACCAAGACTAGAATTTCCAAACCGATCCGATGTTATTTTTAACCCCTAAGAAATGAAAATTACTTTTTAACATAACTCTGGTTGAACATCCCAAAACAATCCGAGTGGGCTACGAGTTTGTGCCAGGCGACCATCTGAAGGTTAAATAAAAGGCAGTTGCCTAAACCCTAGCTCAGTCTGTCCAACTACTGCACGAAGACAAGTGTATTCTGAAAAGGGCAACAGCCACTGCTGCCATCACGAGATCTTTCTACCTCTGGACAGCACTGCGTCGCCAGCCCCCCTGCCCCCCTGATCTCCCAGCCTCCCTCTTACCCTGGCAGGACTTGCCGGCCTGGCAGTGCGTCATGTGGTTGAGGACATTCTTCATGGTGCGGCAGTGGGGCAGGGCGCACTGGCGCACCTCCCCGTTGGCCTGCTCCCGCCGCTGACACTTGTGGGCGTGGAGCAGGAGCACCAGCTGCTGCTGGATCAGCTTGCGCTTCTCCGGGTCGGCGGTGGGCCCGGTGGAGACCGCCTGGTTGGGGACCATGCCCACCGAGGGCACCTGCTGCTGGGGCTGCTGCTGCATCTGGGTCTGGAGGCACAGGCATGGAGAGGTGTGTCTAGGCAGCTCCACAGACTACCGATCTTAGGGATGAAACGCTTGTAACTTCGGGACTTACCAAGTTTGGCACACTGGTAACGGCAGCCCCCTTCAGGTCTGTGGGGAAAGGGGGCAGGCTGTTGGACAGCCCTGCTTTATTCTGAAGCTGGGGGTTGACTGGGTTCACCCCTGTAGTCCCCAGCTGCTGCCCTGTGTTCTGCCCATATGGCTGGCCAAAAGGACTGCTGCTCCCCGGCAACCCCATCTGAAAGAGAGCGCACAGGCCATTACAACCGCTGCCTCCCGAGACAAACTAAATCACTGCTATTTAATGTTGCTGTTCTTGCCCCCTCATGGGGAAATACTGCAAGTTAAACATTTCAGACTGTAGCCTTCCCAGGTTACCCCTTAGAAGTACTGCATTTTTACAGCACAGCCAATACGAAACAAACAATGGTCAAGTGGACACCAGAGGGGGAGAAAACCGAAATCCCAACGATTCTTACAGTACTGCAACTAGCCCATTCAGAGTTCAGTTAATTGCCAATTTGTAGGGTTGTGTGCTTTAATCTCTCCCAAGACGGGTAAGCAAGCCTCCTTTTGCAATTCTGTTGCAATGTCCAATGTGACAAAAGTTCAAAATGAAAAGCATATGTTCCATCTGTAAAAGTCCAATTAAAGTAACGTGTATACAAGCATTTCCTATTAAAATGTAAAGCTTGTCGAGAAAAAACATCAAATCAACCAACTCAAATAATGCAAAATAAGGTTAAGCAGATGAGACAAACTGATCATTAGTTAGCTTTTCTTGTTTAACTCTGAAATCTAAGCTCCTATTCAAAATTAATTGGTCACATCCACAGCTTGAATAGGACAACTTCATAGTGAATATTCACTGTAATGAATTGCTTACTCAAACAAAAAATGTATTACACAACAGATGTCTCCCAGCTACTAGTTTAAAGTTGTATATTCTGTGGCACATTTCACACCAGTGTCGTTTCACTCTTACGTACGTCACTCTTAAAACAAGTGCTTAAAATTCAACAACCATAATGTACTTCAAAATAACCCATTTCAAGTTTCAAAATTAAGTCTTCATTAAGCACTCTAATCAATGTTTGTTCTTGTTAAAAGTCTCAACAATTAGCAGATCATTTTGGATTTGAGCCCCAAAACCTGAATAAAAGTTTATTAATATATTCTGCACGTCAGGCAGGGGGTTATAAAGCAGCCCTGTGGTGGTGTTCCTGTGTGCAAACCCGTGGACTGATTTTCTCCAACTCTGGCTGTTTCACCACTGCATTACAACGGTCTCAGAACAAAAACTGGCACTCCCCTTAATCTGAGCAAAAACTCCCCCACAAAAACACACAACTATATCACAGTTTTAAACAGAAAAGGCTGTTCTTTCCAGCTGAGGCTGAAATTCCAGACAGACGTAAGTGATGGGAGTTAAAAAAAAAAGCACAAGATTCCTCTACTCCAGACCCCAGCGCTGGGTGCACAGCGCCTTGGTACCCTGACAGCGATCCAGCAGACAGATAAAAGCAGCGGAGAAACCAGCTTTCGCCACAGATCAGCGGCTCTCCCTCGGCACACCCCCACACATGCAGACACGCAGCAGTCAGCACTAACCACTTAACAGCCAGACAACAGAGGCCAAAGGAAACCTTTTATTCAAATCGCCTGGCCCGGCTCTCTCCACCCCCACCATCTCGCCACGCACTGTCCACTTAACATGATTTACAGCACATTTCCCTTAATGGCACACCGGGCGCAGTGCTGCAAAGCCAGACACACACGCAGACGGGATTTACTACGGAACAATGCAGACACTGCACGCACCACAGATACAAGATGAAAGACCCGTGTTTGCGTTTCTGTTGGAAGTGTCAGGGCAGGCTCTTTAAAACCGAGCTAATTCATGGGGCACTCCCCACGGGCCCTTTCAGGCAGCCAAAACCATGGATTAAAGACCCTTCCTCTGACAAAATTTGCTGCCTTCATGGCAAACGTACAAGGTAAATAGCATCCGTAATGGTGGTTCGTCAACGTTAAGGAAACTTGAAATGTTCCATTTACTTTTCTGTTTCACTGGATGTGTGCATACCACCAGGCTTAACTTTAACACAAAAACTACTTCTAAAAACCACATTATCCCTATAGACGTTAGTATTCTAAAGATTTTATTGTACATGCTACAGGCATGTTGTCTACATTCTAGTTTTTAAAATATTCAAAGTCTACCATAAGATTCTCAAGTGAAGAAAACCGATTTCAGTGAAAAGGGTGACTATGAAAAAGGCGATGCTAACTAATTTCCCTTGTCACCTGCTTGATTTTTAAAAGTCATGGATTTCTTCTGAAATCTGCAGGCTAGTTTAAAAATGGAACCTATTACAAAGTCAAAATAGCTGGGTCTTAAGCAGGGCTCTAAATGCAACCACTGGTGGCTGCCTTTAAGAAGTTATACTGCACACTAGTTTGAAAGCAAGCTGAACCCAAGAAAAGTGACGTCACTACAAAGCTTGACAAGTTATTGAACATGCACAAAATTTAGATCACAAGAGAGAAAATCTACTTTTGTAAAAGCACACTGACACCTATATATGGGTATTGGAAATATATTGCAAAGCAAATTAAAAATGTAAACAGCATGTTTTTGTATACTTTTCCATAGTTATTCATAGAAAACTGCTCATCTCTAAAACACTATTTTATATAAATACCACATTTTCCACAGCTTTGCACAAAATCCAACATTACACTGTACACTTTTTTGATGGCAATGGGTTTTTTCAAAACGGATCTGTAACCAGGTGAGTGATACTGCACTACAATACAAACCGATTAACAATGACCAAAACTGTTTATTCCTTTTATAAAAACTATCCACTCAATTAGAGCCAACAGTAACAGTGAAAAATTACATGAAAGCTGAACACCAATGTCTACACCAAACCCAAGAAGGTCTGCTTGGAAAACGGTTTATACCACTGGGTACATAATTAGTGATCTTTCACATATAATTGCCTTCGATTGACAACTGACAACATTTCTACATCTGCAGGTCTAGTAAGCAATGTACTGCTCGTTCAGAGGAAAAAGACCTGTCACATCTAAGAACAGCCTGGTCTGAACCCGACGCTGAACAGACTACAAATGTTTGCTTATGCAAACAAGAGGAATTCTACGAATCATTGTGGGGTTACAAGATGCAAGCACGTCAGTCGAACCCGTGCTGGTTCCTATGTAATTCCCCCTGCCCCCCACCAGTTGTGGTTAGCACCTTTCTGTGGCTAGAAGACTGGGTCTTTGATAAACCGGAATCAACTGGTTTCCTGTGTGACGCGATGTGCTCCTGCACGTCAAGCTGAAAACCTCTGCAGTTATAAGATCCATCTCCCTCACTTGCGCAGAGCTACAACTCTGCAAAACACTTCCAGGAAATTGGAGGCAACAGAGAGGCCGGCATGAACTCCCATCACTGATAAGTGTGAATCTGAGGATCCATGTTTGCACCCTCAAAAGGGACAGATTTTCTACGGTGTTAAACTGATCACTACTGTACACTAAGTTACCACTGAGCAACAAACCAAAAAACAAGCAAGTGATGAGCAGGCAGAGAGGTTATCCACATTAAGACCTAACCAGGATCACAAATTGACTCATGACCATGTAAGTACCAGTGGACAACAGGTTCACCTCAGAATTGAAGCTTCCCAAGTTCTGTTCCCCATAGAAACGTACTTCTAGGAATTAGAAATCATATCCCATAACAAACTATACAGCCTTAAGTTCTAGTAATCTGTTTTGCAAAAAAAAACACTTCAAATACAACTTCGAACAAGAGTACCTGGCTATATATTTGTTCAAAGCGTGGCTCACACCTCATTCTTTTACATTTAATGTGTGAGTACACTTGCATGTGGCGGATACAGACAGCAGCAACTCATTGTGATGTTCTGATGCATTATGACTTCAGTTTGGCAAGTGACAAAACTAGCAACAATTTACTGTTTAATTAACAGTGGGTAGATATTTTATATTCTTGCCTTCTATCCTCAATCAAAAAAATCATTTTTTTCCCTTTTTCACTCTAACCAGAACATACAGAAAACAAAGAACAAAGAAAGATGGGCCGATATGATACTGCTCAGATTGCTGAGCGATTTTGAGAGCAGATCAGTAAAAACGTGCCATCTCTACTGATCTTTGCAAATCACTTGCACTAATTCACACCGACTCTATAAGAGCAGGAACACCACCGACTGACCACATTATCCCCTAATGCCCAGACTGAGCAAAGAACTAATCACAGGCAAACCATGAAACTGAATGCATTGAAACCAGCAATCAATGAAAAACCTAGGAAGAATCAGTTTGTAAAAAATTACAGCAAATTCATGTAGTGCCAAATGTCTCAAAGTATGGTCCTGCCTTGAGCCCTGTGCTTTTATGGATGGAGCCTTACAGGATTAAGCAGCTTTCCAATTGATGGATAATGCTGTGAGCATTATATATACTAAGAAATTATGTTCCAAGTTAACTTGACACATTTCCCCCCCATTTAAGAGCATCTGTGAAAGAAACTCGGGACACTTAAAAACCGTTACTATATTCATATGCAAGTAATTTTTGATAAAAGGTGAATGCAGAAACGTTAACGGCATTTAACACTTCATGGCCTGTCAGAACTTGCAAGTCCTGCCAGCATAAAAGATCTATGAAGGAAATTAAGATTTTTTGTGGGCAGTGACAGTAGATGGCAGAAAACATCATCTGTCAGAGTCCAGTATAGGTGCTGGAGCAGTTTGGCCTACTTCTGTTGCATGGTTAGGGGATTCATATATACTCAAAACCATGACCCTATTAATGTTTTGCCTGAACAGCTTTTAACATTTGCGTGTTGTATTAGTGGCATACAATTGTGACAAATCTATTACTGGTTTCCAGATTCTACTGTCACCTTGCTATTGCTCCTTCTAGGCATAAAGAAAACAAGCTGGTGATCACCCCAATCATATTCCACTGACAACAGTACTGTGAAACAGAAGGCTCAGAACTATTTGCCTCATGGTATTTTACCGCTGTTTCACCCCCTAGAGCCTCGCGGCTCTCCTGCGTTCCCATGAAGATAAGCTGAAGGAATCCCCAACGCAGATTAAAATGATGCCTTGAACTCGTAACGTGTAACTGAAGAACCGCACCAGATTACCTGAAAGAATGAACTGACAATTATCTGGAACAGGAAGAAAACGATCCGTGGACTGACCTGCACTAATTCCTGAAAAGAGAACCGTGCCTCACAATGGCTGGAACTACCACAATGAACGCAAAATACACCTCAGAGAGCTTATCAGATTAATACAGTTCCACAGTACACTCCCTTGAAAATCAAATTAGAAATCCAATGGCCTATTGACTATTAGCCTGCAGTAAAGAGAAACCAGCAACAAGCAGGACAAACTGCATAAGGGAAGCAGTGAGAAAGGATGACAGCCAACGGAGTAAAGTACAGAAGGGAGAGAGACCAATTCTAACAATTCCAGAGTTTTATTAGATGTTAAACTTCTGAAGGTCAGCAGATGCATTAACACTGTGAATTAAGCACAAAAAAAAAAACAAATTGTTCTCGTAGCTGTCAACTTAAAATGCTACAGCAGAATCTGTCAAAAGATTCTTTTGTTAAACGGCCTTCCTGTTCAATAAATAATTTTACTGGGCTCTACTTCAAATTGCCAATTAACCCCAGAGTCATTTCAGACACAGCAGATTCAGAATATGGGTCCAAATCGGTAGAGATGCACTTAACTACCTTTCCCTCTGCTTACGACAGAATTCCATTATGCTTAGTAACGAATCGTGTCGCCTCCCCAGCATGTCGACTAGTCTCTGAAGCGATCAGCTCAGCCCCACGTGCCCTGTGCCGGGTTCATGGCTTACATCCCATCTATACGCTCCAGTCAGGGTCATTAAAAGCCAGGCACTCACCTTATTCATGCCGCCAGCTTGCTGCGCACTCATGGCCGGGAGCCCGCCGAGCTGGGGCGCCCCCTGGGTCAGGGTCTCCGCCAGCACGCTGCCCGCGCCGCTCGCCCCGCCGCCGCCTCCCGCCGCGCCCGGCAAGCCCTGGCCGGAGTACTGCAAACCAGCTGCCCCCCGGCCTCGGCCCACGGACCCCAGCGAGCCGTTCATCACCTGGCCCTGCGGCTGGGAGTTCTGGTTCAGGAGCCCGTGGGCCTGGGTGCTGTTCAGCATGGCCTGGTTGAAGCCGGCGTTCATGCCCATCCCCGCGCCGCTCGGGTTGGTGGGGGCGGCCCCCTGCTTCTGGGCCTGGGAGGGGACGGTGGGGGAGCCGCCGGATACTTGCAGGCCCTGGTTCAGGGGGCTCTTGCCTAACGCGCCCAAGCCCCCCAGCCCCCCGGCGGCACCCTGCTGGCTGCCCATGCCTGGCTGGGGGCTGCCCGAGTTGATTCCTGCATTAAGGCTGGGGCTGCTCCCAGCCCGCAGGAGCTCGGACAGCTGCTTGTGCTTGGAGGCTGCGTCCTGGACCATGCTCCCTATCCCAGAGCCGCCGTTGGAGGGCATGCTCCCAAGCGTCATGTCCCCTCCATTGGGAATCAGTTCGTCCGGAAGGTCGTTCTCCAGGTCAAAGAGCGATCCCAAGTCTACTAGGAAAGAGAAAACAAAGAGAGAGAAAAATCAGTTTGCTTATAAATTGTATGAAAGTTGTGCATCTGCCTTAACGATCTCATGTAAGCAAAACGTATTCTTTCTTAGACGTCACTAACAGAAGGTGCACAGCAGCACAGCAAGAAGGTACGGCTTCAGCTGTTCTATTGCTCCACCAGAAGCATCCAACATGGCACAGGTGTCAGATAAGCCTATAACATGTCCAAAACTGTCATTCAGAGACAAATACCGCTCATCGCGAAACGTGACTAAGACCAAAAAATTAAAATCTATTATACAGTAAATACAAAGACGAAAGGTGCTGGGGAGCGTTACTGAGAAGTTAGGTGCAAGCAGCCCTCTCAATGCAGGTTAAGAAGGTCAGACCCACCTACAGGGTGCGGAATTAAGCAAGGGGTCAGCTCCAAATATTGGAGACAGAGGGTTGTTAGTGTCAGAGGTGAGCTTGGTTGCCCTAATCCCTCACAGACATTTGTCAGAACCCCCCCCGGAGAACTCTGGTACCACTGCTTTCCACCATGATCAATACAGACAAACATTCTTTAAACAAATGACTTTACATTCAAAATTGAGTGACTTGCATATTAAATATGGAACTAAATGCACCTTACCAGAGGTACAAGACATACAATAGAGCAAATACAAATACACAATTTCACAGTGAGAATTTAACACTTTTTATATATGCCTACAGTATAGTATGGCTTAAAACTGCAACCTGAAGAGTTGGCTTTTTACCGTTACTGAATTAACAGTATATTTTACAACCACATTCTTAAACTGAACTGCTTATCAGAGTAGTTTCAAATCTGACCATGCAACATCACAAAAGGATTGCATTAATCAATTAGTATTCACATTTGTTGCAAACCTATCTGCAAGCTTACAGGAATTAATGTGTGATCAGGGTTTGTATCAAATGGTAAAAAAACAAACAAAGGGCAAACCAGAAGAACTTCATGATTCACTTTTTTCATCCATACCTCAATTTCACATCACATCAGGGGGACCCAGATTCAAAACGGAAAACCACATTTAGAAAAGAATCCAAAATCAATTCTGAATGGTATTTTATGTACTGTGGGAAAAGCATGAGGTGAAATACACTGCTCCACATGAAGAAGCGTGCTTGCTCTCAGAAATCCCAGAGACTTGCAGCTGTGAGCTGTCGCTGCTGTACTGGTGTTCAGGCCAGTGAGAGCAGTGTAAACATCTGACCACAGAGCGCAGCTCAACCTCCAGCGCGCTGGGGGTCCTTCAACAGCAGCCGCCATCCACACCACGCAAATCAATGAACCTGACTGAACCCTGCCACCGTAACCACATATCACAGCCGCTCAACGACAGCCCCATCATGGAGAGGTACGGCACCATACTTCCTTTCGAGACATTTCGCAGCAAAGGCATTTCGCCGTCTGTGCGTTTCACTCTCGCTCGCCGACTCTGCCGGAGTATAATTCTCTGAATGGCAGACGGCGAGATCGCTGCCAAGTCTTGTGCTAATGCCCCAGCCCTGGAATGCTGCCAAACGCAAAGCATTGTTTTGGTTTCAGAGCACCGCAGACCTAAGTTCTAGCTGAAGCTGAACAGCCTCTCGCTGCTCGACATCCAATTCCTGTGCCTGCTAAAAATATCTGTCTCTCTCGAACGGTTTCCTGAGCCATTACAAATTCAAACAGAGAAACTCTCAGTGTGGTCAACTCGCCTATGGCCCACCACAATGAGTATCACTGCGTTTCAACTGAACGCCAGCAAGTAACAGTTTTAAAGGATTATATGAACTTGAGATTCAACGTGAAAAGGGTGAAACACGCACAATCATTAATGAAACATTCTCTCACTCACGTTATTGCTGCTATGTGTACTGGGTGATGAAATAAAATCACGTTCGTTACAACGTGTCTCATTCAGGCCTACAAACAAAAGATGTGCGTTTGTGTACGTACGCGAGTCAATCAGAGGGAGTAGCAATGCTTTTGCTCAGGCATTCAATTTTTGCTCTTCTATACAAAATAATCAAGGTTAAAAAGGAAAAATATGACAAAGATTTTTTTCTCTGTGTCAAAGTTACATGCTTTCAGTTGTAGAGTAGCATGATGGAGGACAGCAAAACTGAAATGACAGTCAGGGATCATGCTCTAACATGAGCTGCTGGTCACAGCTGCAAACTGTAGGTTTAATTTTAAGGACATTAACAGTATAGGCCACCACTCCTAAGACTAAGATCCACTCTAAACAGTGGTGTACTTAAGTTTTTTTTCTTTGTATTTGGACATTCCTGAATATTACCTATTCCAATATGCGTTAGATTTTTAAAAGTAGTAATGCGCTCAGTTACTTGTTACTCTTAGATGGGTCCCTCTGTCCACACGGTGTATACTATTCCCACTGTGCTAGCCAGGACCCTGTTTACATTTCATGCAAATTTATCAGATCACATTAACTTTCTCTTCTGCAGTGGCTCACAAGGATCCCCAAGGAGAAGATGCACCATATCAGTGACACAGACACCACACAAAGACTGATCTTTGTCAACTGGAACTTCTCGCAGACACTTAGCAGTGCATTTTGTTCAGATGTAGGCATAAAAATATTCCTTTGACGCATTTCCTAAAAGAAAACCGGCATGCCAGTGAAACCATGTTTCAGAATTGACGAGAATGATTTTACACCTGCACCCGACAAAATTCAACGGTACAGCCTTTGAAAAACACTTAAGTTAAGAGGAACAAGGGAGATGCAAGATGACTCTTTTGGAAGCCAGCTTCACAAGCGTGATTTCAGGAAGCCTTCCTGACACTGCTGAAATTGAACGTGGTGGAAGCACAGCGGAACGTGTCTTAGCACTACAAAGCCACAACAGCACGCGACTGCAAATGCCAAATATATCACGTTGCCAAACATGAGCACAGAGCTACGGCCATGCTTTAATGTACCCAAACCACTGCCTGAGAACACTGTTTATCTGACTGGAGAAAAGGGAAATCACTGTCAATGCGGTCAGATAACGCACTGCTGGAGATCACAGAGTGGCATCGGCTCTCCCTGCAACGCGAGAGTATCAGGTTTCAGTCAATTACTGGAGCCGGAGGCTCGATCTCCTCTCCGGCTCAAAAGAGAACCCCCGTCAGTGCTGAAAAAACAGCCAGGATAACACGCAGACCTTTTCACTTTTCACCATCTGCTCAGAACAGAACAGGGCAGCCAGAAAAATTACTCAACCCTATTGTCACGATTCTATCGACTCTTGTGTCCAACAGCTTGTCCAACAGTGGTATAAATGAAGGAAAGGGGAATACAATTTTCTCTAAAATTCTGTTTCTTATATAATGATCTTCAGTGAACTACAACATTATAATTAACTAAAAACATCTATACAATCTTAACTAGCATCCCAAACAATCCATGCTAAACTGCCCAATTTTCAAAAGGTCTATACAATCCCCCAACCCCTCTTAGGGAGATATTGGGATTCAAGAGAATTAAGAATTCTTTCTTCTTCGTTTACAACAGGGCTTTTAGCTCCCCATAAACAGAGCTATGGAGATTCTAATTACATGACACAGCTAATAGATAGAAGCAAATTCCTGCAGAACGATATCTGCACCTGGGGGTTTGCAGTCATATTCAGTTGTGCTGCATGTAGAAAATCCATTCAGCCTTATAAAGTAGAAGGGACAGCACGCTCTTGGCAATTAAAATGAAAAAAGTACTCGATACAGGTGACATTCCACATTTAGGAACTATTCAAAATGCAGCTTTCATGAAGCTCTCTCTCATTAATGAAGATACAAAGATGATGCTGGCAAAGACAGCAGATATTAAGATGGATGAAAAGCCCAAACACGCCTCCTCCAAACTCGCCAGAGCCAAGGTCCAGTCGGGATCCTGCTCTTCACAGGCACTCCTGACGGGACGATGCACACACAACACGTGAGCAGCACCAATGAAATTCGCAACCCCCCCATGTTACATGACAACTGAACACGCTTGCTTCTGGACTAAATCAACCTTTCAAATCATTTCTCTACTACTGTTGCTTAATTTTAAACTTTATGGGAATTTATTTCAACGTATCACAAAAGGTATGAGTGTGAAGCATCCAAAACCATTGAGGAAAGCGCTTTCAAATTTAGATTGGATAACGTTTTGTTCCCACTTTTGATCAGACCGAGTCCGTTTTGGGATAGACTTGTTCTGCAATACAAACAGTGCTGCCTGAGTAAGTCATCTAGAGAGCCATGATTAAATGATGCATGTCTGTTGGAGATAACCTGTTTATTCTAAGTAACATGAAATTCTGTCATAACTACAAAAGGGGAGAAAATTAGTCACAACTAGGTTAAATGTAAACATGGAAGGGGCTCTTTGTTCATTTTTTTCCCCCAAAAGTTTAAGACCTGACAAAAATATCCCTATACATAAACGTTAATGTTGCAGTTTCTGTTATTAGAATTATTTGCTTTGACCATCAGCAATACCACTGGGTATTTCCATTCTAGTGCATTAAAAAAGTCAGCAGGTTTCAAATACCTTTATGACTTCTCTGTCCAAATCAAAGCAAAGCCTTTTACAAAAGCTATGTAAGCTTAATGCACAAAATGATGTTATCGCCCTATGAGAAGACATAAAAACCTACGACTGTGTGAACTAATGCTTTCTCAAAATGAAAGGTATAGCTCTTCTGCAGTGATAAATAGTATATATAGTTATAAATAGTATTTGGGAGTGACTCAAAAGTCACATCAACATGTAAAGGATTTACCCACTGCTCAATGAAGCTTCATCACAGTCAGGAAAACTCATTAAAACTCCATCTTAAAAGGCACAGTTTACAACAATCAACAATTTGGAGCCCATTCAGCTTGACCCCGTCATTTCAGGCTGCACCACAGTTTATTCCAACACGATCAAAGCACACAAACCAACAAAACACATCTCCATGCAGGCACAGCAAACCATAGAATAAGGTCATCAC